TTGTATAAAATTCTAATAACAACACTCTAAACCTATACTACTGACATATGAATGATTGTTAAAAGTCCAAGAATATGTAGGTTGCGTTTACTTAGAAATTTAACTGGCTTCTGAAGTGACTGACACTGACAATGAAATTCTACACCCCTAGCTGTATGAAAACATCCACATAATTATATATATATTGATGTTACTACATTTTTCTATATACATCATTTTCATATATTTAACGATAATGTTTTGCTTAAAGCTATAGTGCTATGCGGAATGGAAACTTGTTGGTACCATGCAATGTGACCGCTGCAGTCTGTGGAAATTACTAGCACATTATCATGGTGTTGAAATATTTTGGTTGGGTTACCTGAATCTTCAGGTTTCACAGTTCAGAAAATCATTGTAAAATAATACCCGGTCGCTCAAGTGATATAAGAATAAAAATTTAGGTAAGCTAAGCATAGTGAATTTTTGGGCAATGTTGATATTTTTCTATTTCACTGATGAGGATGTCCATTTTCAAAGACCTTGCATGTCATTCTGTCTAATTTTATACAAAAGCTTGAAACCTAACCTAATAATAGTTGATTTTCTAAAAAGAACGAAGATAAAGTCTGCTTATTAATGTGTTTCGTCAACCGTTTCCTACACAAACGCAAACTTTATAAATTTTAACAATTTAATTCAGGACAACTTTATATTGAGAGAACAAAACAATTTTGGCATTTTAACTTTTGGCATATATCTATTAATCTCAAACAATGATCAATAAAATTGTACTGTACTAAAAAATTTAAGATGAACTTGTAGTTATTATTAATTGTTTCTAATTCAAATTAGTGCAATACTATAAAGAAGCAGTTTGACTTTCTAATGAAGTCTCCAGTCTCATTTTGGAATGAAATAGATAAAGAAGTGAGCTTGAAAATGTGACTATCAATTGTTCCCTTGGTAAAAGAAGTAAACACATAATAGAAAGAGCATCGAAACACAAGGTTATATCCTACGTAAAGTATAAAAATCTGGAAACAAAGTGATCTCTCGGAAGCATTAATCACAACAAAATTACAAGAGAATTGCAGACTCGGTTTGATTGAGTCTGTACATGAGGGATAATGAGTACGTGCAACATCCTTCACGCCCCCTAGCACCGGCTTGAGCGGTACTCAATTCTCAACACTTAATAGTGCTGGCATTAATGTTCCTGAAGGACCAGAAAATATAACAACACTGAAGTGAAGTACGGGGCAACTTTTTACAGCTGCCACACAGCACTTGACACCTGCTGTTGTGAAGTATAAAAATCTGGAAACAAAGTGATCCCTCGGAAGCATTAATCAATCATATTGCCGAGTGTAACTTGATGTTCTTTCTTTTTTGTATCAAAATGAAAACATGTTCCCTGTGGTCGCAATTTGATACCCCAGTAAGAAGTTACCAATGAACAAGCATTTGAGTGTGACATTTCTATTGTTATTCCTATCTCTGTTGTCACAAAAAGTCATCCCCTCAAAAAAATGAGCCAATCAATGGGCATGCTCTTGAGTGCGGCTGACTAATACTTGCACTCCATTTAATGCACTGTGCATGTAACATGTATTATATATTTCTGGGCTTGTGTAAAACAGAACAGAAGCAAAATAGGTTTGTTAATTGTAATTATGGAAAATATTTTGACAATATTAATGAAATTAATTTACATGAATATTTATGTATTTGTAAAATTTCTGTACCAGTGTAAAAAAATACGTCTTGTTTTTCTTAGCCAACTAATCGTACCAGGCATTAAGTCTCATATTGTGCTATTTTGTGTATTGGCAATAAAAATTGTCCCCTCCTCTCAGAAAGGTATGTTTGTCTGTTTCTGGTTTTGATGTAGAAGCGAGATTCTGACCGGCGGTAAAAAATGTATCCCAGAATTTAGTTTTAACGTCAAAATATTTTGACAAAAGTATTTCTATACTTACATAAAGTTTTTTTTTGTTTTGTTTTTTACTTGGCCGGTGCAAAATATTACATTATATATTTGAAAGTTTATCTGAGGCCAGACTTTTTTATAAATTTTCCGAATGAAATATCTTCTTTAGAAAAAATCTTCTTTAAAAAACACTGAATGATTTTTTAGGTCTGATAAACAAAAGAATATTACAGGATAGACAAACCAGCAATTTGATCAGATACAGTTACACGCATTCTCTGTGATTTAGAAAAAACATTAAAATATTATATTACAAGGTTGAATACCCTGCCTATTGTTAAAGGAGCTCCACTGAGGTCTGACAGGTAATTTGATGTCCAAAAAAATGTAAACAAATTTCAACACAAATCACAATATTATAACTAAAATAACAATAACTTACGTTTTAACCAACCCTTTAACGACAAATACGCTAGAAAATGCATTTTCACATTAGCTTTTGATGCAAAAATGAAAGTTGGTTTTCCCAGACATGTATAGAAGTTACCCACAATTCATCGGGTATGACTATAATACCAAACGGAGATGACTAAAATACGCAACGGAGATTTTTGGGGCAACGGAGTAAACGGGGTAGCTTAAAGTGTATAGGCCTACGTTTGGTTGCTCAAACTAGAAAGCTTGTTTATATTCTTATAAATTTACATTTTTCCTCGCACGCGAGTCTGTGTTCTCTCATTAGCGGATGAGCTAGTTAAAGTCGACATTGTGCAAACCAATACTGAACATAGAGTGAATCAGTTCCCCTTTCTATATATTTCTTGTCAAGAAAATGAAAATTGAGAAAACTGCACTAATATTTCAAGAAAGGTAAAAACAGTCAAGATCAATGTTAAAGTTTACATGTTATTTGCGATTTAAGACTGATTTTGCAGTATTTTATCACCATATTTCTACTGCGTTACTAACGCAGTAAGGGCTTTTTTGCACATTTTGACCTCTTTTTTGGTTATTTGCATGGATTGTAAGTGCCAATTGCAATATGTAAATAACTTTATTTGTTCACCTCACAATATTTTACTGTCAAATACATTATCAAAACTTTCATGAAATTTAACATGAATCTGGAGGCGTGCTGCTTTAAATGTCGGCTGTTTAATTCACTATGCCTAGGAAGATGTAGATTCTGAGATACCCATAAAAAAGTTCCAACACGATACTATAATATTAAAGACGCCGATATTATAAAATCATTGACTAGTGTGCCATTGAATATGATGTGATATTCACCGGCAGATGACATATTGACCGAGGCGATATTCAATGGCTCACTACATGTACACTAGCCAATAATTGTTTTATTATGCTGTTAATTGCAAATGCCGAAAGTAGTCCACTTTTTTAAAGCGGTTACTTCCCTTTATATGTACACTAACGCCGAAAAATTCAGGGGAGATCACTGCGTAAAGATTGTCAAATGACAGGCGCATTAATTTTCAAGCAAAATAGTTTCTGAATGGTCGAAGATTTCTAATATTGTTTTATTCATGCTTAAAGTATGATTATTTACATATGTGTTAAACAACAGGTTTAGCGTCGAAATAATAAGAGTTAAAAACCCTAATTTAAAATAATATGGTTTTCTTCAGGCCGTTTACATATAACTTCACCGTCGTCCAGGGGTTTGCACGCCCGCTAAGGAATCGAGAGGTCTGGAGTTCAAATCCCAGTTAAGGCAACTCATTTTTTTTAAATTGTTTAAGTCAAATCAACATTGAATTGAATATCAGTGTTGCAATTAGTCTTATAGCCAATTTACTACAGTTAAAACACTGGAAAGCATTGGTGGCACTTTACAAATACAAATTGGTTTTTAATCTCACAACCTTCACCTTTCTGACATTCTGAGACCCAAACAAATTCAGCGCCTGCTGTGCTTTGATTTCAGATACTGCCATAATAACAGTACTAGTAGTTCAACGAGGTAATAGTAGCGGATACTGAAGCAATGATCAGGTAAATGATACAGTGAGCATTCCCTTTGACCTACTGCAATCAAATCAAAAGTTTAATTTGCTGATCATTATCAATCTTCGGCTGTCAACATTGTTGCGAAAAGTGCAGAATATGATAATATTAGCATGAACATTCTGCAACTGTTTCGCGCATATGATTTTCAAAAAAAAAAATAGTTCAATGTCACATTGTTATTCTTATAAAATGGATATTTGTCCAGTTTATTTCATGACAGTTGAATTTGAATGAAACTCGTACTTGACCAGACTGATTCCACAGTTGATACGACTCAAATATTGATACTGGCTTAATACGATTTAAAACTCATAAACATACGCCAAACATAAAAAAGAAGAGGCATTATAAGCGTTTTAACATACTGTAGAGGGTGGGACGGGCATTGTCCGGTTCCAAGAATAAACGATATTCGTTTCTTTCGGTAAATTGAAAAAAAATCTTTCCTTCAATGCAGCCACTTACAAATTTGTTTCATAAATGTTTACTCTCAAATGTAAACATTTTCTCTGGTATTAATAAATGTAATTGGCAAAGTAATGTTGCAAGTGATTAAAATACATTTACGTTTTCCCCATCTACTTATGGATGCCCAGTTTTGTTTTTTCACAAAGAAAAGAATCTTTAAGAATTAAATTACTAGTATTTAGCAAATACTTAATGCTCATTATCCGAGATGGTCTGAAGCATTGCCACTTTTCCTAAAATTTCATTTATAGAAAATATACTTTATCTTTTTCGTATGCGTCATATGCAGTATATACCGAACTTGAACAGCGACTCTTATGGCTATACAACATTGAATAACTTGCACAACCCATAAAATCATAATGGTACGACCGGATAATGTAAACGTTATCGTGTCTGATCGCATCCTGTATGTAAACATTAGACAAATAACGTTCGGATTGGAACAATATTTTACGGCTGAAATTTAGATAAATCAGTTTAAAACCCTGACTTGTTTCATCGAAATATCTTAGTTTGTGCTGGAGATGTAAATATTATGTACATGTATATATGTAATATGTAAGGGACGATATAATCGTTACACAAAATGGCGGATAGTGGAAGTAAAATAGGAGAGGATGATGAAGTTCCGGGTCGTGTGAAGGAACATTTGTGTCAACCATGTTTAAGTAAGGATAAGGAAACTGTAGCCGACAAGTTTTGTTCAAATTGTAATGAATTCCAATGCAATGATTGTTCAAATGTACACAACGTGCTCGCCATCTTGAAAAATCATAAATTGGTGAGCGTAAAAGAAGCTGATGTTGCACGTATTTCGTTTAAAATGAAGGCCTTAGATCTATGTGATCAACATCAACATTCTTTTGAATTTTTCTGTGAAGATGAAAAGAAGCTCTGCTGCAGTAAGTGTGCAATTGTTAATCATCGAAAATGTCACAGCGTTGTAGAAATTGAGAAGATCGCTGGGAATATAACCTCACCAATTTCTATCTTAGGGGAGACATTGAAGGAAGCTAAAGAAGCTGCTGAGAGTGTTGCGAGACATATTCGCTCTTCAAAAGATCAACTTGCTGAAGATATAAAAGAAATACATGTACAGATAAGACGAATGCGAGACGAAGTAATGAAAATGTTTGCCGATCTAGAAGATTCCGTTAACAAAAGAGCTGAAACTCTGCAGAAAGAAACCTTAGAAAATCTGACAAAGAAGCAAACACAAAACGAGAAACATTTGGCTGATGTAACATCGTGCTTAGAGACGATTGAAAGTATTTTCAAAAATGGAACTCCAGTACAGAAATATATAGCAGAACAGAAAATGGAGAGTAAAGCCAATGCTCTCTGCAGAAACATCAAAGGGGAATATAAGAAATTAGAGACGGTGAACATTTCTTTTCATTTTGAAGAAACAATAAAGCTGCCACCATTATCAATCACTGAATATGTTCCAGGACAATTACTATTAAAGTCTACTCGACAGAGAGACGTTAATTCTGTTAACATGGCGATGAAGTTAACACCAGTTTCTTCTATTGATTTGAAGAAGACGGGAGATGATATCGATGAACCGTTCTATACAGGCATAGACTTTCTACCTGATGGTAGATTGGTTGCTGTGGATAACAGAAACAAGAAATGTTTAGTGTACAATGAAAAGCTTGAGAAAGTAGGATCATTTCAGCTACCTAACAAGCCATTATCTGTTGTTGTAGTATCTGAGGAGGAAGTAGCGATAACAAGTGGTACTAGATACAACATAGAATTTCTACATGTTAGTAAATGTAATGAAATAACTTCAAGTAGGACATGTAAAGTGAAAACGAATTATTACTCTATATGTTTGAAAGATGATAGACAGTTTGTAGTAGGGACTTATGATGAACCAAGACCTGTTCGTATTGTATCATTGACTGGAGAGGAGCATGATTTTAAAGATAACTTCCCAAACAAGACATATTCTATAGACACTAGCGATTGTACTTACATAAAGAGCAGTGACAAAGTGGTGATTACAAGCAGAGACGAGCATACAGTCTTCATATATGACATTAAGACAGACACAAGAGTGGTAGTGAAGGATGACCAGATACAGTTACCATGTGGTGCAGCAGTTGGTCCTTCTGATACTATCCTGGTGTGTTGTCGTAAAACAAACACCATAGTACAGATATCACAAAGAGGTCAGATATTGTCATCATACAAGATAAATATGGAGATGCCGTATAAAGTATGTGTCTCACGTGATAAATCATTTCTTGTTGTTACAAATAGCTTTAATGGAAATATGAAAATGCAGAAATTCAAAATATCAACATAACAGCACTATTCTCTGTTTCACATAAAAGATTCACACGCACGCACACACGCACGTACGCACACGCGCACGCACGCACACGCACACACACACACACACACACACACAAACAAAGTAATTAAAGAAAAAAAACAAGAATTTATCGATGACATTTGATGGATGGATCATTGAATTATACTTGTGGTCTAGTACCAATGTAGCTGCTCATAACGAAAAAATATATTATTATACAATTATATAGAATACACCAATATTCTGGGAAAATGTGTGCTCATCAAAATGAAGTCAATGTATGCTATGACAGACAGATTAAGGAGTAAACAATTCAATATTAATAATTTCAATAAATATTCAATTGATATACTTCTTTTATTTTAAGCAGACGAGCAATAAACTTGAAATTCATCAATTATTCGACAGATGTACAGACTCAAACCGAGTCTGCCATTTTCGTGTAATACTATTGTGACCAAAGGATCACTTTTTCTCTATTTTTTTTTATTTAGCACGGCTTATATGTTAAGTAGTTGCGTTCTGTACCATAATTATCTTATTTTTTTAATCATGACATAATGTTGACTGTATAATGAAACATTTGATTGTAAATAGGAGTTTTGTTAAATAATTTGTGATATAACGTCATTACGTTCTTTTTATACCTTTACCCCGCAAATCCAGCCGATTAGCCTTTGCCACCCGTATAAAGCATATATAGCCAGCATATACATTCGAGCTGTCTGCCCAGCTATTTTCTATTCTAATTCTGAAATCTTATGTACACTTCAAAACGAATCTACCAAACTCCATTTCACGAATTAAGCAGGTCAATTTTAGTAACAAGAAAGTTGATAAGATAAAGTTTACATCTGTTTTTTTGGCTTCAGTTGACTTTTCTATTATAAGATACAGTATATCATAATATAATATACATGGATATATGTATAGAATTATGTTTACCATTAACAATTGAAGTTAAGTGTTTATTAAAATGTATATATTTTTACTATGTCCTTTATTATACCTAATACATGTATCATGCACTTCAGGATGAATTGATATAACTAATTGGAGTTATAGTATGTGTGTTTAATTATACATGTTTTGCTTTATCTGAATATCATATACATATACATATATCATATATTCCTCCCTTTTGGAAGTTATTTTTTTTTAATACGGCTTATATATACTCGATTGACTTTACTATTATAAGACACATCATAATATAATAAAAAAGTAGATATGTATAGAATTATTGTTAACGATAACATGAAAGTCATGTTAGAAAATGTATATAATTTATTGTGTCTTATCATATACAATGTACCTACTATCATGCTCATCAGGATGAATAAATATAACTAAACGGAGTTCAGTAATTGAGTTTATATTCTATTGCATTGCCTTATTCATAACAGTTACAGAATTAATTGATCTCGAATTCACGATTTCAACAACACGATTTATGATTCAACTTGAAGAAATTAACTTTAACGATTTTTACGTTTTGAGTTTCACAAGATCAATTAACAAATTCGTGATTTTTCAACTTCAAGAATTCATTGATAAAAAATGTTCATAATTTTGTAATTATAGTGAATTCATTGAAAGTTAAAGGCACGCCTCCATATTCATGCTAATTTTCATTAAAATTTTTGAAAATGTATTTGAATGTGTAATATGTGAAGGGACCAAAAGGGAGCATTTACACATATCAATGGCACTTAAACCACATTAATTACCAAAAAGTTGTCAATAAGCATAATGCCTTTCTCGTTAGTAACGATAGTTAAATACTTGAAAAATCCATCATTAATCAAACATTATATTTTAAAATTATTACTTAATCTGAACTTTTTACTTTTCCTTTCATCTTAGTATTTTCTCAAGTTTGACTTCACTTGAAATATTTTTGACTCATCTGGAGGCATGTAGCTTTAAAATCTTAAAATTGAGTGGCTATGCAAATATTCAGACAAAATATTTAAAAATGCCAGACATTTCATAGAATATCGAAATGGCAAACGATTATAATGACATACAATTAACAGAAATTTGTATGGTATAACATGGGTAATTTGGCTAAGTTATACTCATGTTCATGTTAATAACATCGTGAGCAAGGCCCAGGGTAAATCGTATAAAATAAATGTTTCTCAATAGTTCGTGGGCCGGTCTATTTATTCCCACTGTACCATATCGTTGTTTATCTCTTTATATACGTATCCTCAATAATGCCTAATGGCAAAAATGATATGGTTCTAGACCGCTAATACCCATATACAATAGGCTCCTATTATATAGGCCTCATAACCTCTGACCACCCTTCTAGTTACGGTCATAGTTTTGCCCGTTTAAGGCACAAAACAAATTTTACTTGGTGTTACGTAGCTTTTCATGGAATGGCACTAAAGTGCCACATTTTGAAGATTATATGATCATATCCGTATGATGTTTCTCCATGGTGGATATAGGCCCTGGCTTAGAGCTGCACCCACCCCTGCTCAGCCCAAAGATACGTTCATGAGCTGGAATAAACGCGCGTCAGTTTCATGCAATATTAGTATTAGTGTACACCCTTATCAAATCATTTAATGCTGTCATCCGGTCGTTGAGTACATGCTGTGTGTGTGTGTGTATTTGAGTTTATTTATACTCGCCACCGACAAGTCCTCCAGAAAGGTATTAGTCTTTTTATATTTTGGAGGACACAGTTAAAGAAGAACTACCAAATTCCAGAAGTTTCTCCTGGTTCTTTAACATGCCAGGTGTTTAAGCACTCATTCACGGTACCTGGATTTAAAATATCATCCGAAAGACTAATGGCCGGCCCGGGAATCGAACCCCCAATGACGAGATTACAAGTCTTGTGCACTTACCGATTAAGTTATGTGGGCTGGTCACCTGCATTGGCATTAATATTTCATATTTCAGACTGCATTGAATAAATTTAAATTGTAATTACCTCTTAAATATCTAAAAAAATAATATAGATTCATTGATAGAATAAAATGCTTATCAAATATTAGTGTTTTATTTTTTATCTTTTGTAGAATAAAAAGCAGTGTTTCAAATAACATATTTACTTTGGTAAATCGGCTAATTGACTGTTTATAAAAAAATATAATTTCAGACACTACAGTACTGCAGTACACACATGTGCATATATTCTTTATTTCATATTTTTATAGTAGTATAGACAAATTAATTATAAGAAATAAATTGCCACTCATATACATGTATATAAGATAAGGAGGTCTATTACATTTTGTCACATGCACAAATTCCTGGCCCAATTTTCAAAAACACGCGCTTTTCGCCTGTCCAATTGTTTTTGTCTAAATCTTCCACCGACAGGTCAGCCCCCAACCTCACCAGCCTGCTCCTGTTTCTTAATTAGAAATTTCAGCTTTTAAATTTTGAATACTGCTTAAGTTTGTGCAAGGGGGCGTGATAAGTAGCTTGCACTTTCCAGTACTGTCCATCTGGGACAGAATATAACAGTTAAATATTTTTGGTCTGTCCCAGTTTCCATTAATGGGTTCAATCAAACCACGGATTTATACAATACATGCATGCCTTACATATTAAAATAAAACTTTGTTTACCGACATATTTTACTTCTAGGCAAAACAAATGTAAGGCATGCATGCTAACAAAGAGAAAATAGAAAGTCCAAAAATGTTGCACGCTTGGTTTGATCACGGATTTATATTGTATAAATCCGTGGTTTGATTGAACCCACAGGCGCTAGTCACATAATCAAATATTTTACATAATCGGTCTATATATGTATATAAAGATATCTTTATATACATATATAGACCGATTATGTAAAATATTTGATTATGTGACTAGCGCCTGTGATTGAACCCATTTATGGAAACTGGGACAGACCAAAAAAAGCTTGAATTCCCGATATTTAAAAAAAAATCAACATAAAAAAAAATCAAACACAGCACCTGTATCTAAAATGTAAACCGTGCCTTCTGGCATTGATTGTTATCTGTCCATATCCTAAATTATAGCAGATTAAATGTTGAGTCGGCTAATTGACCAGGCATAAGGATGACGTAATAAACAGTTCAATACCAAGTTATTCTCACATGTTTAACTTATCGCGTGTCGTGTGTCAGTCAATTGACCTCTTTTGTAATTTGGCAGTAGGTATTACACGCTACAGTCATCAAAACTACCCTGTAAAATTTACACATGTATGAATTCGGCTCAACCTTTGATTTTTCCTTTGATTAGTGCCGCACTTTGATAAAGATAAAAGGTGAGCAGAATCATTTAAAAGTGGGCATCATTCAAAAAACCCTGTTCGAGATTGTCTAATTAACCTATTTTTTAAGTGAGTGGGTAATTTTTTTGTTTTGTTTAGGAATTACACAATCATCAAGGCAAAAATTGTGGATTTAATTAACGGAACGATTCTGTTGCATTTATTTTGAGTTGCTACTTATGTTACCCGTTTTTAACTGTATAGTCTTATGTTCATGAATAGTTGTTGCACGTTTTCAAATAGCTTGTGTTTTTAATTAATTAATGACTGAAAAACATATAAATCTTCCAAACTGAAAATAATGAAATGGTGAAAGTGTTGTGACTGTTTAGAAATATCGCAGTTCCAAACAAAAAAAATCCTAAAAAGTATAATCATTTTAAATTTT